GGGTTCACGACACCTTGTGACTTTAAGCCAAATAAAATCTTGTCAATCTTATTATCACCATTGGCATATAAGCTGGAACAAAAATTACTAAACATGTCTCTTAACTCTTAAATTTGATTGCAATTGATTGATTCCTTATTAGACTCTGAAAGTACCAAAATATTAAAAACGATCATAATGTATATTCAAAATAAATTTCCTCAAGCAATAAGAAAACCCAAATACTTAAGGGATCTTATGGGCCTATTGGATCAAGCTCGTCAACCATGCATTTAATGATATGATTATGCCAATAGTACTCATTAGTCATACCTTTGTAAGTGAAAAGCTACAGAGCTTCTTGCTACTCAGAAGAACCTCACGAGTACCTTTCAAAGCTCGTTGGCTTTCACATGAGTCATCTAATTGGGTTCACTAAGCTTAAATTTTCAAGTGAGTTTCTCTAGCCAAGCTCTCTCACATTTCTCGTGTTCTTCTTTCAAGCTTGTCTGTATTAATTGAATCATCCTACCGAGCTCGCTGATAGCCATCTGGTTGCTGCACCGAGCTTGATGAATATTTTTCTGAGGCAGAAGGAAGAGAACTTCAGCCCATGATCAAGATCCATGTATTGAGTGTCTGATATTCATGTCCAAGATCTTATCAACAGCAAGTCTATATAGAATATATGTAGTACAACATACATTTTGGCATTTTATTTATTCCTTAGACCCCTATACAAGTGCATAAGCTCTATGGTGTATAACTAGGAAACAAATGGAAGAAGAAAGGGGGTACAATATATGAGTACCTCAATTATATGAGACATATGTCCCAAAAGAATTCAACAAAGCCACAAAAAGACATTACTACATCTATGCAAACACAAAATTGGGAACAAAGTGGGCTCAATCGATCATCTTCCATCACTAGTGTCAATGCTAACACCAACACATTTATGAGTCTAAAAATATTTATTTATTTAATCATATTACCATATACCACGTACGTGTTTGATGGGTACTCATTACCATCATAAAGAGAGTAGATATCCAGATGATTCTATTTCAAAATATGCACATACTCATGGTTGATCAGATAAAGGTTAACATTAGACTTAAAGAGTCTAAAACCCTACGTGTTATCATTTTCCATGGAGCAATACGCTAAACTGGCTTAATTTGATAATACGAATTAAGACTAAAAGGATTTCCCAAAATTTTGTGAGATAAGAGCACTTTTTGGATATAGTACTTTGCATTAATAATTTTTTTTGGATAAATCTTATTTGGCCAAAGGTTGGTTAGGGTTTATAAATAAGCCTTCTCAGTGATTCTTTTTAATTATTATTTAATTTGTAAGCTCCCTATAGACTAAGAGCTAATTCAAAAAAAAAAAACCCTAAATGAGTGAATGACTTCTCATGAATATCCTTCTCTTTGTCTAGTTAAATCTTGTTGGTCTCTACATATTGTAAAGTATCAGTTAAAAAATGTGAGCATGAGGCGTCAAAATAGATATCCCTTCAAAATTTGGTTAGAACTCAATGCATAAACCAAAATTTTAACTTGAACTTATTGGAATGTCAGTTACATGTTCCCCTTCAATGAGTTGCTCAGACTAGTTATGTGTGAATGTTTTAATTGGCTAACAATTTGAGGTTTCTCAAAAAATTTATCTATTCCTTTACTCAAATCAAGATGAACAAGAAGTTATTTCTTCGCAAATATTTATGATATTGATGTATTTCAAATTTTGTGTAATTTTGATACACACTATTCTATTTTTTTAAGATTATTTGGTTGAATGTAAGAATAAACCTCAAAAATTCTTTTTTTTTTCTTATGTTTGGTTGGTTATAAATGAAAAACTATTTTATAGTATGAATGTACTAATGTCAGTATGAGTTCATAGATGACAAGCATGATAGAGAGGTCTTGATATTACAGAGTGAGATCTTGAGGGTCATTTATTGTGGTCTTAGTGAGGTTGCACGCAATGTATTTAAATATTATTAGATAAATTTAGAATCCTTCAATGAACTAAAAAAATATTCCAAATTCATTAATATTTTACTTCGTATCTATTTTTCTTCCAGACAAATGCTCAAATTTTCAAAACCCAACATTTGATTTGTACTATTATATATTCATACGAACAAATTTGTCCCAAGTTAATAAAATAAAACAAACATGTGCACAACTAACCCTTAAACCAACTAACAAATCTAATTTGATTGACTCTAAGCCTGGATTAATCTAGCAAGCATGATATCAATCAAAAAACATAAATTTGAATTTATGAGTTTATGCATGAATGTACTATATTCTATACCAATTAAATAATCAATTTTGTTTGTGCTCTACGAAGGATTAAGAATTTGACTTTAAAAATAAAAGGAAAATGATCAAAATAAGTTCTTAATTAAACTTAAATCAAAATAAATGATTCAAATTTAGCTCAATTGAGATATATTCAATATAGCCTATAATTAGTTTGAATTAGCCTATAATTACATATATATATGTACCACCTTAACTATGCATGAAAAGTTATATTTTACCATTCAAAAATAAAAATGGTGGCATTTTCTTATGTGATAAGAATGATTTGGGTGGTAATGTAATAGAAAAGTGATGTTTAGGTGATAGATGTGTAAATACATAGACATTAGGTGTTATGTATGTAGTCGTTTCAATTAAAAATACGTCCACAAGCATGGACGGGCTGAGCTAAACTTAGAAAATTACATATGGTGAGAAAATAATCACAATTTCGTTGCAATTAGCATCGATCAAGTTAGAGAGGAAAATCTCTGTCAATGCCACCACTTGAAACGTCTCTAGAAAACAAAAACAAGAAGGAAATTATATCCCCAAAGCAATGATTAGACAAAAAGAAAATTACAATTACCCACTTTGTGGGATTAGTTCTCCTGTAGAGATAGTTTTTGGATTGCCTTTGCGATAATAGAAAGGGAAATTTACATAGGTAGCATACAATTCTTATGTATTTACAAATCTAGCATTGTCAGATTTACATAAATGAAATTTTGGTGGTTTAAACTTAAGGATTTGAGTGCTATGAATGAAAATATGTAAGTTTAGGCGTGAGATGTGTAAATACATAAGAATTTTTTTTTATCATGAATGTAAATGCCTCTAATAGAAATAGTAAAAAAAAAAATTTGCATAAATATCACATAATTCTTATGCATTTCTATATCTAACCCATAAGTTTGATATTTATATTCATAACACTTTGGTTTTAGAGTTTATGCTTGATAAAAGGTACATCACTTTTAAAAAATTAGTGATATTGATATTTTTTAATGTGATATCAAAAATTTGAATGTTATGTCTGTAAATACGAAAAATTATGTGTTAGATACGTAAAAATATACAAATTGTGTTATATGTAAGTAAATGTCACTAAAAAATAATGGTCTTTTTAATGACTGATTTTCTTAAAAAAAAATTCAATTTCATTTTATGAACCATTTCAAGAAAAGAAAATTTGAAATGGTGATCAAGAGTTGTTCTTTTAAGAGATAAAATACAAAAGTTAAAGTCACCTCAATTAAAATCCAAGAAAAATAATGAGCCTTGTGCCTACCATGCCTACAACTTGCACCTCATTTAAGAAAGCGGTGAAGTTTCATTCTATTGCGATGAACGCCAACGCATGGATTTGATTTCGTTCGATAATACAGTGTCTGTAGTTGTTTCAATCTAACAACAAATGTTCTCTCTATAGATATAACTTTTAAAAGAACTTCGTTGATCAGCGAAATCAACGCCGAGAAACATCAAGACTCAAAGGCGACAAAAGTCTAAGTCGATTTTGAGATTATCATGGCCAAATATCACCAAATCATCTTAAATAAATTCAGGTTATATTTATGGGATTCCTTGCTTGAGCAAGTTAATTTTCTCTACGGAACTCGTTTCTTTCAGAACAAGTCAATGAAGGCAGGCAGATTCCAATGCCAATTTTTTGGGCAACCAGCACAGTCCCTCGTCCTTTACCAAAGTTAACAAAATGCATCCAATATGTGCTTTACTGAATTATTGCACGCTCTTTCCCACAAAAATTCATATTTTGCATAACAAATAAAAGTGAAAGCTGAAATGTCATGAAAAGACAAAATTTATCAGAAGATTTGCATCTTGCAATAAAAATATTAATTCTTTTCTAAAAAAAATATTTAAGTGAATTTAATTATTACATACCTCGCATACGCAGGATCATAAATGTGAGATATGTTCATTGAAACTTAAACTTTTGACCAACAAACTAAGGTGTCTTGCATAAAAGAAAATATTACATCAGGATAATCGGATGTGAATCACACCACATCATCTGCATGGTAAATACACGTTCGGATGATAGACAATGTTTTTTTCATACTTAAGAAAACATTTCATTGAAATTTGTGTCAACTCAAAAAACTATTTACTAAAGATTAGGATCTATTTTGTAAGTGACTTTTTTTTACTAAAATTTATACATTTTTAGGATTATGTTTCTAACAAAGATAGAAATTTATAGATAGAATTCGTTTAGGTTTTTCATCCAACAATACTTCTCAATACTCTATTTTTTTTATACTAGATGGTATAATTGTAAGAATTCAATTAAAAAAATTTACAAGGGATTCCACATAAAAGAACCTATTAAAAAAATTTAAACAGAAAAGATCTTTCATCAATTGAATTTTTTTAAGATAAATATAGTTTTAAGAGTTTTCTAATGAGCTGTCCTTCTTTCTTAAAATTTTATATATATGTTTTAAGATAAATATAGTTTTAAGAGTTTTCTAATGAGCTGTCCTTCTTTCTTAAATTTTCTTATAGATAAATATAGTTTTAAGAGTTTTCTAAATATAGTTTTAATAGTTTTAATATATATATATGGCAACTTATCAAAGCATCTTTCTTTTTATTTTGTTTTTCCATCCAATAATTAATCATATATTTATAAATATAAATATATAAAAAGAAGACAAAAACAAATGCCTGAAAATCCTTCCATTCCCCCAAATCCTGCATAATTAAACAAAACAAAACAAAGCAGCCTGAACAAATGAGCACCAAGTTCATCTTCCACTCCTTATTTCTACTATTATGACAATAAACCCTCTATATTACTCTCTCAAGTAAAACTATTACAAATATACCTAAATCACCGAATGAATCATGACAATTAAACCACCCTCAAAAAGTAACCCCCAAAGGAACTAGTCCCCCAAATTTCAGCAGCTCCATTGACACCAAACTATTTCCTCCCATACTGCAAAGTCAGTCTCTTGCTCTTAAGAATTAAAAAAAAAATAATGAAATTTACTAATCCGTAATTAAGGAAACCATTAGCAGAAGCTCCAGAGACTAAGATCCCCAATCTCATCAAACTCCTCTGCTTGATGTAAAGGAGTGAAGAACCCAAACGGGTTCCAAGTCGGATCCATGAAGCATTTAGGCGACTGGAAAGCTCCGAAGTCCACCAAACTATCCGCCGGTGGAGGTGATGACGATATTTCATCCTCTGCAACGGCGGAGGCGGCGGTGGTGGCGGCGGCGGCGGCGGCGATGCGTTGAATGGATTTGGGGGAGAGGAGGGAGGAAGGGGGTTGGTGAGGGGAGGAGAGGGGAAAGTTGAGGGAGGCGGAGGAGCCTTTGAGGCAGAGAAGTGCGGCGTCGTAAGCCCTGGCGGCGGCTTCAGGGGTGGAGTAAGAGCCGAGCCAAATGCGAGTCTTTTGATTTGGGGCTCTGATTTCGGAGACCCATGAGCCCCAGCTTCGCATTCTTACTCCTTTGAACTGCTTCTGGTTTCTGCGTTTCTGGCCGCCAGAGATAGTGGTGGTGGCGGCGGAGGAGGAGTTGGAGGAGGAAGTGGGAGATTGAGATTTCACCATTGTGGAGTGCGGGCGGCGGGGTTTTGTCTGTTTGGTTGTTTGATTTGGCGATTTTGTGGGTTGGGAGAGCGGATTGATTGTAATGGGAGTGGAGGAGATGGGGAGTGGGGGAGGGTGGGGCATTTATAAGGAGCTTGGGTAGTTTTACATTTTTACCGTGGGGGAAAATTTTTGTGTAAATAATATTTTTATTACATGTTGATGATGTTTGAAGAATCTTTTTATAAAAACTTTCATATGTTGCAAAAGTTTGAGGAATTTTCAAAAAAATATGAATTATTTTTGTTATTTGCAAATGGAGATGAAATTAGTATTTGAATTATGAATTGAGTTTTTATGTATTTAGGTATCTTATATGACTTTTGTATATATTCATTTTGTATTACACTTTAATCATTAAATGATAAAAATAATATCATGGGTAATAACTTATTTATCCAAGGGGAATTATACACACTTCTATTTTGTTTTTTGTTGTCATTTAGTTAGTAAGATGTTCTTAAAACAATATTAAATTTTAAACATTTATTTTATAAATATTTAAAATTTCAGGGATATTTTTGTAAATAACCCCAGCACATTTAGGCTATGGCATAGTTTTAGTGAGAAAATTAGAGAAAATTGCAGGGCATGGGTTGGTCAATGGAGGAGCATTTGAAGAAAGGGGTGTTATCTTTAAGCTTCATAGGAATTAGAAGGCAAGTTAATGAGAAGGAAAGGAAAATGGAAAAAAAAAATGGGAAATGGTTTTAGTAAAATTTTTTATTGATTGAGAAGAAATTATATGATTTTTTTATTTTATGAAAAGTTAGGTTATGAGAATGTGGCAATTGACTTTCGAATCAAATTTTTGTTAGAAATAGAAAAGAAATGTGCATAAGAAAATTGGTTTTTTTTTTTTTAATTTCATGACTTAATAATAACATTATAATTGATGAACTATCAAAAAACTATTCGACATGGAGTTCGAGGCATGGTCTGAATCTGGAGTCAAATTATGAGCAAAGAACTTTCAAACATCAATTAAGAATCATCCAGAACTCAGGTTTTAGCAAACTTACAGTTAAACTGAACGGCTCAATGAGACAAACATAATGACACTAAAGTTGATTCAATCAGAGCAAAATCAAGCCTAAATCAAGTCGTTAAGCTATTTTTGGAAGTTTCTAATACCCAATTGAAAGATTAAGCATAGAGTTGAATTGAGCATCTCGACGAGACAAGTCCAACGAGCTGAAGATCACTCAAATTTAGCATCATTAAGGCACTCAAACATCCACGAATCTCTAGGGTGTTCGAATATTAAGTACATTAGATTCTTTCTTTATTTGTTGGGAGGCATCTGCTTGAATTTATAAATAGAATTCTACCACATTCATTATAAGAGGAGGAAGAGCTATACCTTGAAGCGGAGGAAGCCAAGAACTTGGAGGATAAGGAGCTGAGGTAGAGTGTTCTATATCGAAGGTCAAGCGAATATCACCCACTTCTGCCACAATTGATCACTATTAACTACTGCTCGTTGGCAGCCATCGACCATTTTCAGTCACGCCCTGTTCATCATAATGCGGCCCCTTATGAAGTCATGACACGCGATATTGAATCTTGGCATATGTTGCGAAGTAAAAAAACACTAAGTGGAGTGAAGACCAGCCTTACAGTGTAACGAAACCTTCTATGGAGCAATGCTACGACGAACCCCAAAGATGATGCATTGACACAGTTTGCCTACGGTGCAACTATCCACCTCTCATATGATGAAACGACACCTCTCATAGATGGTGAAAAAATGCTTCTCGTAATAACTACTTACACCGCAGTACTCAAAATTTGGTGACTTTCTACGAATTCCTGAAGCACTCTCTTTATAGCTCACAATTACGGCCTATGTAACCAACTATGACCTACATTTTCCACAACTAATACAACTCCCAACAACGACCACTTTGGCGTACACACATACATTATTATGTTTCCCCGCTACAGAGGTTTATGCGGTCCCTAGCTCATGCAGCTCCCAACTTTGATGTCTACTATTTGGATCTCTGACATCACTGCCCATCGCCCATATCTCTAGATTATTGATGTGGTCATCACTAGACCACTTCTGCCTCACCTCGGTCGATCGAAGCAAACCCAACGCAAGACCCATAGCAACACAACCCACAATAAGTGCTTTCAATCACCTTACTGGTGATACAATGAATTTCTCCTTACTCCTAAAACTCTCTCCTTACAGCCAACCACCACGATCTATGTGACCAACTACGGCCTATGTGGTCCACAACTTATGCAACTCCCAACTCCAGCCTTTGTAGCCAACTGATGTTATTATAGCTTCCCGTTATGCCCTAGGTGGCCAACTATGGCCTAGGTGTTCCACAGCATATGCAGCTCCGAACTCTAGCCTTTATGATCTATTGATGTCAGATCGCAGCTGACCACTATGACCTACAAAACCAATTACGACCTACATGAACCACAACTCATGCAACTTTCAACTCCAACATTTAAGGCTTATGAAAGTTATCACAGCTTACCATTATAGCCTACATGAATATTACGACCTCGTGGTCCACAGTTTATGCTGCTCCTAACATCGGTATCTAAAGTTTACAAAAAGTTATTACAACTCACCACTACGGCTTATATGATCGATTATGGACAATGCAGTATATAGCTCATGCAACTCCCAACTCCGGCTTATGTGGCCTAGGAATGTTATCACATCTCAGTATTATGGCCTACATAACAAGCTACAGCCTGCATGGTCCACAAATCATGCAGTTTCCAACTCTAGTCTCTATGGCTTATAGATGTTATCACAACTCGGTATATTTGTTTGCGTGACTGACTACATCATACTTGGTCTATAGCTCATGCAGTTCTAAACTCCAGTCTCTATGGTCTACATATGTTATTGTAGCTCACTGCAATGACCTATGAGGCCAACTACATCCTATGTAGTCCACAACTCATGCAACTCCAAACTTCGGCTTCAATGGCCTATGGATAATATTACAGCTCTTTGTTATACATATGTGACCAACTACAGCCTACAACCTACACGGTCCACAAGTCATGTAACTTCCAACTCCGAACTTCATGGAACGTTATCACATCTCACTATCATGGCCTATGAGACCAATTATGACCTAAGCAGTCCTTAGCTCTTAAAGCTCTCAACTCTAATCTCTGCGGCCTACGGGTGTGTGTTATTGCAACTCACCACTACAACATATGTGGTCTCGACTCATGCAGTACCAAACTTAAACTCATGTGGCCTACAAACGTTATCATAACTCACCACTTGGTCTACGTGGCCAACTACAACCTACATCATCCATAGCTCATATAGGTCCCAACTTCAGCCTCTATGGCCTATGAAAATTATCATAGCTCGCCAGTATGACCAATGTGACCAACAGCAGCCTACATGGCTCACAACTCTCTAAGATGGCTTTTGTGGCTAACCGATGCTTTTGAAGCAACCATCTACGGCCCACGTGGCAAATTATTATCATATATTTCAATTATTGTCTCTACAACAAGCTAGTGTTACTATCACCTTCAACAACATACACGACAAACTACTACCTCCAGAGCAATTGACTATGACATTTGTGACCTATTAAAATTATTACTAAAATATCGTTGTACATCAATTTTGTAATTCTATCTTCTTTAAATTAGGAGAAGAGTGGGCATATGTATTCACTATTACATGGTGAATAAACTCAGTTGGGTCGGGCACGGGGGGTTTTCTCCTTCATAGGATTCTCCACGTAAATTTTTTTTGTCTCTACCTGTCATTTTAATTACTCGAGTTTATTCTAAATTTTTTTATAATGCAAAAACACTAAATAATCATTCTATCATCACAAATTCTTCAACATGCATCAACAATTAAATTATAAATACAAATTTCTAAACTTTTATCTTCTTTAATTTATTTAGAATTTCATATAGCATCACGTGAATATAAACTTTTCAGTAACCTTCGTTTTACTTATTTATTTTTAATTATGAAATTTGGAATTGGGGAAATATATTTATTAATTGATAAGTCAACAATAGTAAATGAAAGGGCATATTCTCGTGGATCTATTTATATTCATTGTTTTAATGTGTATATGATGGAGCAGCTCCACCCAATGGTTTTATGAGTAGAGTACACTAATTATGATTAAGATGAATATACGTACCGCAAAATTTATATGTATTATATTTCTAACATATAAATTTGATATTTATTTATATAATATCAAAATATTTTAAAATCAAATCATAATTTTTTTTAATGTTTATTTTTTAGTGGACCATATATTTTAGTGAGTATATTCTATCATGATTGTAACACTCTAGTGTTATATAAGCAAACAACAGTAATAGCAAGCCTTTATCACACTAAATGGGGTTGGCTACATAAATCCTTTTTCTCCATTGCATCCAACTGAGTGTCATAATTTCAATTAATTTCAATATATTAAGATCATTTTTTATACAATATGTCTGGGTCTTTTTTAGATTTATCTCTACCTTTCATAACATAAGTCAAATCTAAAACATCTACTCTTCTAACTCGATCATCAAATGGTCCACATTTAATGTGATCAAACCATCAAAAACGAATCTTTGTAGTCATTTCTACCACTGGAGCTACACCAGCCCTATAATCAATATATCCATTTCGCATATTGTCTCTAAGTGTCAAGCCACACAACCACCTAAGCATTCTCATCTCAGCAACACTTAGCTTTTTTTTATGCTTCTCTTCTAAAGGCCAACATTTTGCATCGTTCCTAGACTGCTTATGGGAAGGATCAATGCAAATCTAAGGGAGGGGTTAGCCATTATTTTGTGAAAAATTCTCTCATCATGTTGTATCAAGCAGATAAATCAGGCAGAGCCCAATGCACATTGGAGAAAATTTTGAATCGTGTGGCAAACCAAACAAAATGAGTTGGGAGAGCTCAATTTTGACAAATTTCCACTATTGTCAAATAGACGGAAGAGAATTTGAAGAGCTGATGAGAGATCCCTATAGAGGAGGAGTTCAAGTGAAAAGGACAATTATTCTT